CCCATCGTACCCGCCAGTGGGTCCCTGCTCCCCAGGAGCGGGCTGCGGGATGAGGCAGTTGGAGATGGGTGCTCCAGGGATGCTCCAAGCCGCCCAGTCCTGCTGTCCACACTCCCCTGTGCCTGAGGGCCAGCAGACACTGCAGGACTGCAATTCTTCCCCACCTTCACATAAACCACAAGATGCTTCACACTGTTGCAGCTCTGTTGTGCCCCCAAGTCGCTCCCGCTCCGTCACCCTGCACCCCCAGGGACCCAGCCAGGCCGGGGCGAGGGCTCACCGTGGCCTCAGAGCAGGAAAAAGCACAATACTTAAAGAGAAGGAGAGGTCAGTTAAAGTTTAATGTTCAGGCGAATACATCATTCCCCGCACTTAATCAAGCAGCAGCAATTTCTAATGATAAGTAGAAAGGATGGCTCACATCCCAGTGATAAAAAGGCAGGATTGCTCCGAGTTTCGGGAGATAAGAGGGCTCTATAAAAATTGAATATTTTGTAGCACGTTCAGCTTGAGACGGCTTTATCTTGTGGCGATAGCGCAGCAGGGGGAGGTCGGGGCAGCGCCGTGCCAGGCCTTGCACGGAGATGTTTATGATCTGAGATATGGCAGAGATTAGGAGCTTAGGGGGGGGGAGCTGCTGGCCAGCGCCCGTGGAAGAGGGGCAGGCAGCTCCTTCTGCTTATAAACCAGGTGGGGAGTTTGAGTGGCAAAGCGCCTTTCTAGGGACTGGGTGTTGCAGAGAGGGAGAAAACTGGGTGCCTGGAAAAGACCCTGTGCTCATTTCTGGTACCCCACAGTCTCATCTTACCCCGAGCACGGCATCACTGTTGCTTGATCAGAGTTAAGCTCTGCAAAACCCTTGCTCGGAGTTAAGCGCAGGGGGGCTTTTCTAGCAAAGGCAAGGGCTCGGCTGCCGCCGCGGGGCCGCGTTAAACCTGCACGTTAAACCGGCCGTGCCTGGGGCTCTGCGTGCCCAAGGGGCTCATTCCCTTCCCAGCAGGCAGCAAGCCTTTCAGAAACCTCAGTGCCGTCAGCAAATCTCTGGCTACGCGACCCAGGAAAGCCTGGGAGGGGGCTCTCAGCAGGCTTGTGGCTGAGGGCAGACGTCCCCTGGGGTGTGACAGATGAGTAGCAGTTCCACTGTCACCTGTGCTGCATTTCGGTGGCTTTCCCGGAGCATCTCCGGGAGAAGCAGGTTGGCAGCAAGGTCTTTGCAATGGTCCTAGCCCCATCCTCTGCAGCTCCGTGCTGCCGTCAAAGCAGGTTGAGAGGGTGGGAGGGGAAACACCCCCCGGAGGCACTCAGGTCATTAGTGCTCGGGGCAATTAGTGATGGCATCGAAGCCTTTGAGGCTCTGGGCTTTGGCATCTGCCTGCAACCACTCTCCATGTCCTCAGCAGCCTTGCTCAGACTTAGGGAAATAAGGTTTGGGGTTGTCTTTTTTTCACTTTTTCAGTGCCCCCGAGGCAGTTTGGGGTTTATGGCTCACAATGGACAGGGACAAGGGGCAGCCCCCGGGGTCTGCACCAGCCCACGCTGTTCCTGCCGTGGCGGCAATGCCTCCGGGCAGTCCCCAAAACCCACTCAAGTGGAGCACTTACTTACACCCCCCTTCCTGCAACGCACAGTCCTGCCTCAAAGGACCCCTGCGTCCTCCTGAGCCCCAGGCAGCAGCTCTCGGGGCGGGTGACCCTGAGCAGTCCCGTCCCCCTCCTCGCCCAGGGAAATGGCACCTGCCCGGGGTGTGCTGCGGGTGTGGGACCCCCAGCCCACGCTCACCGGTCTCGCAGCTACACAGCGAACCCTGGAGCAGACACCCAGAGCACATACAGATATTTTTTCCTTTTAATGCACTTTTATTGCCACTCCTTCCACAGCCCCACGGGGTGGGATTTCAGCCCAGCGGGAGCAGGGGCTGTTTTCCAGCCCTGCCTGGGAAGAGGAGCAGCACCCGGCAGCTGCGGGTGGGGGTCGGCACCCTCCCCACATCACTGCCCCCTCTCTCCCTTTGCTGCCTTGAAGGGAACAAGTTTCCCCCATAAAGAAATAGTAAATAAAAAAAAAAAAAAAAATCTCTTTTAGGAAACCTTCGGAAGGAAGACTTCGGATCATATAAAGATTCAAGTAGCGTTAAGTGATCTAGAAAACCAAGTCCTGTACATCAGCTTATAAAATTTCTAAATAAAAAAAAAGGAAGAAGAAGAAGAAAAGACATGACACGTCAGTGCAAGGGGCGAGGCGGTGCTGTCATGCCCCTCCACCCCAGCCCCTGGCACCTCGCTCGAGCCAAAGCCTCCCGGGGAGGCAGGATCCGGGCGTCACCATCTCATGTCCCCTTCCACCGTGGAGATGCCCCCTCATCTGTCTGTCCTTCTCTCAGCAGGGGTGCCACGGCTCTAGAAAAAAAAGTTTCTCAGGAAGGAACTTCTCGCGGGCTTCGAAGGTGGCGCAGAAGTTGGAGGACAGTCCTGCCACATTGGTGGTGACGTAGTTGAGGTACCCTGGCATAGCTTGGTTGTAGTAAGCCACCTGCGAGGCACAGGAGATGGTTAGTAGGGGTGCGTGGGGATGGGGGAGCCTTACCGAT